GTAGAGCTTCGTTGAGGCATGAATCAAAGTTTAAGCCTTAAAGTACAGGAGGAATCACAGTTAGTCTCCACCTATAATTGGTCAAAGTTAATAGATTTGGGGAAATTCCAGTCAGCAGTGAGTTCTTGAGCCTTCCCTCCTTTACTTGCATCTGTGCCTTAAAAGACATAATAAGAATTTAATAGCCGAACATCTGGGAGATAAATAATTTTGTTTAAAGAAAAAAGTTGTTTCTTTTAGCACTAATTTCTGCATTTGTGGTGGCTAATTGTTATGTCTACTTGACTGGGACTCAGGTATTTGGTCAAGCATTATTCTGGATGTGTCTGTGAGGATTTTTCTAGATGAAATTGACATTTGTATCTATAGAATGTATTAAACAGATGCTTTTCTAGTGTAGATAGGTTTAATTCAATTAATTGAAGGCCTAAATAGAAAAGGTGAAGGTTCCGTAAGGGAGAACTGTCTGTCTTCAAATTGGGATACTGGTCTTTTTCTGCTGCTGGATTCAGAGTCAGACTAGAAATTACACCGTCAACTGTTCTGCTTCTCAGAACTTTGAACTGAGAGTGGAATTACATCAGGTGTTCCTGGGTTTCTGACTTATCAACTGTTCTTAGGATTTCTGAGCCTCAATAGCCATGTGAGCCAACTTCTTATTATAAATTTTTCTGTCTCTGTTCCTCAATCCCCTCCCTCCCACTGCCCCTTCTCTGTTTCTCTGTATATTTCTCTGGAGAACCATTACTAGTACATATTTTGATATTAAGAATAGTTCTGGAGGAACAGAATGTTAAGCATAAATTTTCTGAATTGGCTCTGAGGTTTCTGGAATTAATTCTCTAATGAATCTATTTCCAGTAATAAAGAGAGCGCAATAGCCCATGACATAATTAGGCAATAGAAACACAAAATACAGTAGTTTTTCTTTATACTTGGGAAACACATTCCAAGACTTCCTATGGATTCCTGAAACTGCAGATAGTATTTCTGACCCTTGTTGTACACATTCATTGGCTTGCTGCTTAATGTGCACAGAAGCCAGTTATTACAAGTGTGGAAGAAAGAGAAGAAAAATTTATTACAGGTCTACTGGAAAGAAAGTAGGAGGCAAGGAGGTTCAAATCTGTCTCCCTGTGGATGGGCTTTGGGCAATATTTAAGGAGTTAGGGAACAAAAAAAGAATAAAAAATACAAGTCTGATTGATTGTTTTCTGCTGAACAATAGAATAACTTGAATTTTGGCTTAGAATTAAAACAAAACTGAATACCCCTTTTCCACATGTTGTTAGTTTAACCATAAACTGTGCAGTTTTTGTTCTGGGCTGTCAAAAGGTCACCTCAAGGACAGTGAACATTTTTCTGGGCCAGGGCTGTTGTCAACTTAAGAGAAATCTCCGCTTAAGCTGGCTTTCAGTATTTTGTTCTACTGTTTTACAGTAGTTACTCAATTTTATGGTCAAGTCCCACTGTTCTTGCAAGACAAGTAGAAACAGGAAAAAAATCTGAAAAAAGAAAATGATAGGATGGCAGATCACTACAGTTTCACTAAGTATATTATGTGTTTTCCTATACATATATACCTATTATAAAGTTTACTTTGTAAATTAGGCACAATAAAAGATTAATAGTAATAATCATAAATAGAAAATTTATAATAATATACTTAGTAAAAATTATGTGAATGTGGTTTTTCTCAAAATATCTTTTTAAAATCTTGATATTTATGTTTAGGTCTATAAATTAATTTTATATATTTAAAAAACCTCTTTTCTTTCTAAAGAAAAAGTTTTTTGTTGGTGTAATATTGGTTTGTAACATTATATAGGCTTCAGTTATTTACAATCTTATAAATCAACATCTGAATATATTACGTTAGATTCACCAAGATAAGTCTAGTTTATATTTATTACCATAAAGCTGACCCCTTTTACCTAATTATCTACCCTCTCCAAATATCTTCATGCATGTAATATTTTCAGGCCAGGGTTGATCACAGTTTACCAAAACTATGAGACATGAATGCACGATGAGAAGGCACTACAGCATCTGCATTGAGTATGTCTGATGAACCACATATTACGAAGCAAGGGTCTGGGTGACAGTGCATGTAACACTTGTGAACACTGTTGGAAAATTAACAACTGTGGGATTGGCTTAGCCAAAGGGGTACAACGAGGGAGTTCAGGGATTTGAACTTCCAGCTCAAGCAGCTCATAATGACCTGAAAGTTTCTGTGTGTGAGCTTTGAAGGTGATTCTTTACTCCCATAAATGAAAGGTCAAGATTGCTAAATATTACAGACAAGCTCTCCTCCTGTAACTGACTGAATTACAATGCAAGGCCAACCCACGTGAGGCATCTAGTAATGTGAGAGTTTGATGGGGAAAGAATGGGTTGCTGAAAGTTGGAATGGGAAACTTTGTCAGGAAGGACCCTGATAAAGCTAGGGATATCGAGCATATAAATTCTGATGTCTTTTTTTTTTTTTTTTTTTTTTGGCCAGAAAGTGGCGTCTCAACTCCTAGTAAAAGCAGGATACCCATCTCTAGTGATAGTAAACCCTCTTATCCCTACCTGTCCCTGAGGAGATTAGCCCTACATTGTCTAAAGAAATTGCAGTGGCTTCCTCTAAGGCAGCTGCTAAACAAGGCTAATTATCTGGAAGACCTTTCATGCTTCACCCCTTTTTGCTTCTAAACAGAAGTCCCAGCAGGTCCCTAAAGGTAAGATGCAAAGTGTGACCCATGAGGAAGTACATTGTACTTCAAAAGAACAACTTACATTTTATAATTTATACAAGCAGAAAGGCAAGGGACATGAGAGAATGGAGATTAAGGGTGTGGGGTTATAATGGAAGGAACACAGTTAGATCAGGCCCCAAGTAATTCATTTTGTCAAATAGATCTTCTACAGGGAAGACTGACTGCAATATGTTACCCTGTTGGTCTCCAGGGTAAATCTATGAATCTGGTTTAATGAGCCTGTGTCTTCCTTTTCTCTAACAGATCCATAAATATTCTCCCTCAAATTGGAAGGAGGGTTGGAAAGGACATCTAAGGGGAGTTGGTTCCTTGTTCATGTATGTTTCTGTATGAGGATAAGATGCTCAATAAATTGTTATCCCCTCCCCATCTAACCATTTTTTTAACTTTCACTCTTTTCTTTCTTCTCTTCTTTCGTCATTTGTTTGCCCCCAACCCCTGCACACACACACACACACACACACACACACATTTTAAAGCTTTCCAAGACAGACAAGTCCAAGGTGCTAGTACTTTACTCTTACATCTATTAGTAGGATGTCCAGGTTATGCTAATTCCATTCTCCATGGTTTAACATTTCAATTTATTTCTTCTACTTTATGAAAGCTTAAAGCTTAAAGCTTTCACCTGCTTATCCTATCTTTTAGAACCCTTTCCCAACCTGTAGCACAAGAATGTAAACTTCATTTTCAACACATGCCTGTTCTCCCATCTTTCCTATTAATTTTTTTTTCCTCTTTATTTTCCCAGCTGATCTCAGAGACCTGATGGATTTCCCTGGCCTTTAGCTGCAGAGAGATGGAATTTCTTCAATTTTGTGCATAGTCTGATGTGTAATTAAATAATTGCAATTACTACACTATCTTACTCTTTTTCTTAAGTCAATGTTTATTTAGTCAAACCCTATAAATTTGACAATATATCAAGGCTTATGTTCGCTACAGTGGATATAAAATTAATTTAAAAACTTTCTACCTATGTGTTTATAATCAGGAAAGTAGAGACAGCATGTAAACATAATATAATAGTGCAGCAGCTAAATATCACACATTGCCATCTGAAGAAAAAGAAATTTCCTTCTTTAGATGTCCTTTCCAACCCTACTTTCTAAATTTATTTTATTTGTTTATTCATACAGAACTGGAGTACAGGCCAGAGGTGCAGGGAGTGGTGAAAGGATTCACCAGAGGCAGAGTGGGGAACAGAATAGGCAGATCTACAAGGTACACTGCTGAGGGAAGCAGGGAGGGAGACAGGAGAACTGCTGAACCAATTGGGTCACCACCCTGGCTGGAGATGGAACTTGAGCTGAAGTGGCTGTGGCCAGTTCATAGTGCTGCGTTTTAACCAGTTGTGCCACCAGGAAGGGCCCCCCCAACCCTACTTCTAACTTGAAGGATATTTTGGAGCTGTGAGGAAAAACAGAGGATTCAGGCTCACTGAACTAAGGGAGTTGTTAAAAGGTCTCAGGGAAAGCAACATTTACATTAGTCTTTAAGTAGGAGTTTGCCAGTCAGAGGACAGAGGTGAAAATGAAGGTAAGGAAAAAACAGGGCATCTGAAGAAAGGGACTCACTCGTCTATGCTGAGGCTCTGAAATAACTGAGGGAGATTTTTGACCTGTTCAGGAAGGTCTGAAGGGGTCGGCATGCTTGAGAGGCCCTGTACCGAGTGGGTCGACTTTTAGTCTAGGGACAAGGAGAGAGACAGGAAAAAGTAGGGGAGTTCTACAATAAGGTTTGTCTTTTATGTCACTGACAATCTTACAGACTTCAAGTTTTGGAGTCCGAAAGGGGTGTGTTCTGCTCGCTTATTCGGAGATGCAGAGTAGCCTACGAGAGACAACGCCTTTTTTTTTTTTTAACCGGTCTAGAAACAGCATGTTTCAGCATTCTCATGGTTACTCAGTCCGATCCCAGTGCACAATTGTGTTAATTCACTTACTCCATTTACTGCTCGGACCCAGTCCTCCAAAAGCTGTTCCTATCTTCTTGTCAGGGTTGGGCAGACTTTGTCTCTTGAACTCCATTTTTCGGTTTTGACACTTTTCTTCAGTTATGTTAGCCTAGTCTTTAAATGTATTGCTGATATTCGAACTGTTCCAACCCTGTTTTACTCACTCGGACGCGACACACCTCAGTAACCACCCCCACTCAGTAAGTTGCCGAACCAGAAAGTTTGGTCCCACCCGCACGCCGTACTGACGGTAGCCGTGCGCAGGCGCAGTCCCGGCACCCAGCGGCGTGTACCTTTCCCCAGGTTTCCTGCACCCTGGCTGGTTAACCCGGGTTATTCGCGGTCCGATTTCCGCCGCAACTACCCGGGTGCTCACACCGGTACCCTGCACTCCGCAGCTCGTCAGTTCCCGGCACCGCTGGTCTGGGCTGCACATATCTACCGGCTACCGACCCATGGCTGAGCGCGGAGAACTCGACTTGACCGGCGCAAAACAGAACACCGGAGTGTGGCTGGTCAAGGTAGTGTTCGCGTGGGCTCACGCTCCTCCTGTAGAAGTAATTTAAGTGTCTTGAGACCATCCCACTCGGTGCGCTTTTTAAAGTTCTTTATCTTCCTCTCGTTAGAGCTCCATGTACCTTAAGAAGCATTATTTTTGCCAATTTGCAGACAGTGGAAATTAGGGGTGCAAAAGTGTCTTTGAGCTAGTTAAGGACTCAAACCCTACCTAGAATGGATCTCCTTTGCCTACAACTTGGTGTTTGTAGGGGTATGGCTTAGTGCCTCCCGATTTGAACGGTGCATTTACCCCACTCAAAAAGAATTCCTGTATCTTCTTTTGATGAAACTGATTTTAGGCATGAACTATATAAGGAAGTCGAGTGTCAGCTTTAGGTACAGTTTACTTGGCCGGAAAGTAGAACTGATTCCTCTTTACTCTTAAGTTGCAGTCTTAGGTTGATGGCTCTTAATAGCTCGCTGGAGCGCTGAGAGGCCATTGAACTGGAGTGTTCTCTTAGAAACTCACCCTCAATAAATAATTTTTAGAAGGAACTTATGCTAACCACTATACAACCATCTGTCCTATGATTTTTAATAAAGACGGCAATGATTAATCCTTAGTGTAGTATGTATTCTACTTTTCATATTAAGAAGTGTTATCTCTTTGGGGAGTTTCATAGGCTGTATGTCTATTCAGGTGTAATTTTCATACAACTTCAAGTAAAATGTTGGGCCTCTACTTTGCTAAATCTAAGAGGTTTGTCCTGTCCAGCGCTCAAAAAATAGGTTCTTCAGCTCTCCTGCCTGCCTGTGACTATGCAGGTGTGTCTTTTCACAAACCTTTTCCCATTGTGAGGGCAGCACCACCAGCTTTCCTTCCCACCTATGACTATGCAGGTGCCTCTCGTTTTTCTTTCTCCTTTTCCTAATAAACCTGTCCTTTTAAAATGTGTTAAAAAGAGAGAGAGAGAGAGAGAGAGAGAGATAAGAAAATAGCTTCCTTTGACATGATCTGGCATGTCTAAAAGTTGCAATATATTCTTAAAAGCACTTCTCATGGTCTAAAGTGAGTCTCTGTTCCAGTGTTCAATGTTGCTTCCAAACTACCCCTCCCCCCCCAAACACACAGTCACAATCCATGAGAATATAGGTCATTGCGTTTCATGCCCAGAATTGTGTTTGGCATATGGTCAAACAGATTGTGATAATTGTGTCGTTGTCATTCTTCAACCTAGTTTTGTGGCCCTCTTGACTTATCATAGCTGTATTACTATGACTTAAAAAGGATGGAATATGAGAAGAAGGGACGGCACAAGGGGTTATTAGGGATGGGGGAGGAATAAAAAAGATAGAAGACACTCTTCTAAGTGTGTCTCAGTTGTGATGTGCACCTTCTAAAAATGCACTGGCCTATTCATTAGGTCTGGGTGGAGCCTGAGATCATACATTGTGTAACATACTCTCACATGACCACTAAGTAGCATGAACAGCCTAGGTGATGTTGACAGTGCTGGTCCTCTGATAGCAAGAGTTAAATACTGCTGTTTTGACCAACCCAATATCTAAGATTTTACTTCTCAATTCCTAAGAGGAGATGTGTTTGCCCTAGTACTTCTGGACCATACCTAAAGGGGCCAGATCATGAAATAGTAAAAATCATCACCACTATCACTAGCTTTTCATAAGTGTTTACCCTGACCCTGGCATTGTGCTCTGCATATTATACACTTGGAAATGAGGGAAGAACACAGAGGTTTTGAGAAGTCAAGTGACTTTCTCAAGATCACACAAATAGTAGGTATCAGAGTCAGACTGAGAACACACATTAAAAAAAAAAAAAAAAAGAAGGGAATTTAAAATTTTCTCTCCTGCTGTGTGCTGAAAGGTCCTTAGAGTCTTAAAGGAGAAGATCTTCCTTGCAGACTGAAAGAAGTTCCTTGAAAGAAAATTGCAAACTTGAGATGTGTTTATGCTGGGACCACAGGAAATACTCAGTAAACATTGTCTGCCTTACAGGATTTGGATGGGTACATAGAGTTTATAACATAGTTTATGCCATGGTTGGTGGAACAGAAATGCAAGACTGAAAATTCATTTTAACACAATGTGTCCTGGAAAATAAAGGAGAGTATTATGCAGAGTACATGGTCTATGTGAGAATCAATTGGGACCATATTCTTACATTGTTATATTGTGAGATGGGGTGCTATAATTTTAGCCCACAGGAAATAAGGAACCTTTGGAGCCTTTCTGGGTAGATGATTCAGAAAAAAATTAAGCTTGAGGGGAAGATAACCAGAATCAAAATTAGAAAATTATCACAGGATCATAGGTATATGATAATGAAGTCAGAGGATTTAGGGAAACTTTTTCAGTAAAAGTTGTCAGGATTTAGTGACTAGATGAGACTGTGAAAGAATATTATGAATCTAAAATGAAGAAGTTTAAAAGTTTTTGTTGTTCTTTCATACATGGCCACTTGAATACATATCTCTTTAAAAAGAACTCCACCGGTGCCAATGATTTATTCTTATTTTATAAAGGTAGTTCTGCTGTTTTATTTCTTTGCAGTATCATTATTTTCTCAAGGCATGCACTATTTCTTTTTCTAATTTTATGTACTAAAATATCAGACTTGCAAATACATTTTTCCATCCCGTGAAAAGACTCTTGTCATTTCTTGTCCTCTGACACTTCATTGAGAATTGCTTGCAAATACTTTGCTCTCAAATCCATCCTTGTTTACCCCTATTTTGACATTTTTTATCTCTGCTGTAGGTAAAGGAATCTCACTAGGCTATGCTTTGATTTGCACACCTGTCACATAGCTTGAATTTGTTTCATTCACACTGAAGCTAGCCTCAGCGTGATTTTTATACCCATATCTCGAGCATAATTGGATTTTCATCTCTTCTAGAAATAAATTATTTGAGTGCATCAAACTGTAATGATTATTTTCATCTTTCTCTGTGATATAAATATAACATATTGCTTAGAAACCCTGTCTTGTTTCTTTTCTAATCAAAATTTGTGAATAGAAGTACATACCAATTTCAAGTCTTAACTTTTACATTAATATTTCTCTTTATAAATATTACTTTGAGTTCTGATCTGTGAGGATCATTTGTTGCCAAATCTGTGTCTTTTAGAGTATCTCAAAGTTCAGGAATCTTCTTTTCCATATATTTTATAATCTTCTATTTCCATATTTTTCTGCCAGTCAATAGGTATAGAGCAGGATAAATACAGTTTTATATATATGTGTATATAAATATATAGTCACAGGGAAGGTGACATTTAAGAGGAGCCTAGTTAGGAAATTTTTCCAGCAGGGCTTGGAAGAGTGTATTCAGGGAAAAAATGAATATAATAGTAGGCTGTGTACCAAAATATCCAGGCCTGCACTGTTCCCAATGAAGTGTCATTTCTGGAGTTTTGGATATCTTAAATCTATAAGAGAACGATATAGAGAGAATTCCTCAAACATTTTGATAATTATAAGAAATAGACATGGTTGGATTTAACACTCTAGTTAGGTGTCACCTGCCAGAGCATATAAACAACACAGTTCTCATCAAGGAGCAGCCTCTTGAGTTTGCAATACTCTGTTCCTGTTGCTCGTTCTTTGTCACTATAGGTTGCCAGCTGGTCACACCCCATACCAGTCATTTAACAAGTCATGATGTCTAGCATAATTCTACTGTTTGACTTCTAGCCTAGGTCGTAGACTTCTGGACAGTTAGCTTCTTTAGTTTGGATTGGCTGAAGGATAAGGTACGTTATGGGGAAAAGGAGGAGGCAAAGCTGGCAAAGTTATAAGAGTACTATGAGTTTTTTGTGAACCATGAATATTCCTATGGGGACATTAATTATAAGAATTGCAGCTCTTTTTTGGGGAATAGACAAGTTGAGTAGTTCTAACTCACAACTTCCTAGCCAGCAAAAAATTTGAATCCCAACCAGCCTTACAACTATTTTGACTGATGTTTGTTGGAAGTGATGATCAGGGCAGGAGGGATGCACATCATTCCTTTGTGAATCTTTTGTCCTTTATTCAACAACTAAGATACCACCAAATTTAACCTTTACTTTTGCAGTTGAGCATTTTGTCATTGTTGGCTGAAGAAAAAACTATTTGTCAGAGAAAAATGAAACTGAAATGGGTGATACCCCAAGCACATGGTTGGAGAAAAAGGAATTCAGATTTCTTATATACCAGGCATTTTACAAGCTAGGGCTGTAATTATATTTTTCAGATGATAAAATTGAGGCTAAGGGAGGTAACCTTGCTCAAGTATAGGATAGTACTCAAATTTAGGAATGTTTACCGCATTGCTTATGCTGGGAATAAGAAATGTCTTTCACGTCTTGGATCTGTCATAATGAGTTCTCTGTGCTGGGGATCTAGAGGTGAAGTGGGGGCTTCATTTTTTTTTTAAGATTTATTTATTTATGCTTACAGAACTGGGGTACAGGCCAGAAGTGCAGGGGTGGTGAGAGGATTCACCAGAGACAGAGTGTGGAGCAGAACAGGCAGATTGACAAAGTACACTGCTGAGGGGAGCAGCAGGCGGGTCAGGAGAGGTCTGCCACACCATGTGGGTCAGCTCCCTGGCTGTGGATCGGATTCTCTGAGAGCTTCATAACGCAGTGCTTTAACCTGTTGTGCCACCAGGGAAAGGCCTATGCCACCAGGGAGAGCCCTATCCTCTTCATTTTTTTGGGTCATGTCAGCTCTGTAAGTTGACCTTCAAGAAAACATAGGACTAGAAACTCTGTCATAGGTTGGGCTGCCAGGAAGCTGCTTCTGATGGAGATTAGCAAGCAGGGATATACTGTAGAGTATGCTTGGAATCATTATCTAGATAAAGAAAAGAAGTTTAGCAGGATTGGTGGAGGATGTGATACAGGTACAGTGAAAGACAAGGACAATTGCACAGGGAGCTTTTCAGAACTGTTTGAATTAGAGTGAGGGAAAACCCTGTGTCAACCAGTCATTGGGTGTGTTTTGCACTGGGAA